TCACAGCCCGACACGTGGTCAAGTTTACGACTACGGCTGATTGAAAGGTTTTCTTCCATAAAATTAATCGATTCTACACTAATCCGACTCAACATTTCCAAAATACGTATATTTTTTCGTAGTTTTATAGGAATCGTAATTATAGGGACCATAATTATAGGGGGGTCGACTGTACAGCATAGAACCTTAAGCAATTCTAATAAAAACTTTAATGAAGATAAATTATGGACAAAAGATTTTCGATCTCTGAATGAGGTGTTCTTCAGATTTGATGTTCCAAATTGGAATGCATAAAGAATGGCATTATAAACATTCTGAATATATTAAAATTTTGAACACATTCTAAATTATAAAACAGTGTAGAGCACTTACAAATTAAAATTTATCATTTAGCATGTAGAAACTGACAAAAATAAAAGTAAGCAGCCATACAAAAATTATAGAATTAATAAGGTTTAAAGAAAATGGTTTAGATTGGTATGCACTACAGTAAGGATTCTTGTAGGAGATTGCTAGGCATAAGACAAACATTTTTCTTTTTTAAAATTAATATAGACTCCTTTTTCAACTTAAAATTTCTGGAACTTCAAGGGCTCTGATGTGATTCATTTGTTGAGTTTGTCTGATGAAAGAGACATTCTTGAGATGGGCTTGAATAATCTCAAGATTCATTCTCAGAGGCATAAATGGCCAGAGAAATGGTTTGTTGTTTGTTATCAATATCATATTTATATTCAGTAAGTCTCTTTTGGAGGGAGCATGTGGTAGACTCGATGTAATGTATTCCAAGTTCCACTAGAGTCTGTAGTCCATCATCAGAACCCTACATACCCAAATAATCTAAACATGTCATTAGTATCCTTACTAGACCATAGACAGTGGGAGTTATGTTTGTGTCAAGTTAGTATTTTTATAATATGATATTTCTTTGTATAGGGAATGCATATCACAATTATATCCCAACACAATATGACCTGGTTTGCAGGTCTGCTTATAGTTATTATTAAAGATCTCTTCATCATTAGGGCTTTTAACTTGGGTATTTCAGTTGGTAAAAGTAGAAGCTAAATTGTGTTTGAATAAGTCTTTTCCAGTAACAGTGTTTAGCTGCAATTTCCAACAAGTAAGTATTTTAGCTCTTTTAAAGTGTCCATGAAATTAGTGCAGTGGGTGACAGCTTTTTTTATAAGGGCTCTAAAAAACTGCTGTTCTGTAGATATAGAGGTTGCTAGAGTTGAGTGGGATAAACAACAGTAGATGGCATGGTTTGAAATAGATGTTCATACACTGTAAATATGGCCATTCTAAAAAAGTATGCATAGATCTGAAACCTTCCTAATATTCTAACATGTAAGAGGTATGTTGATGACATTTTTAGTCTTTGGAAATCTAAACCACATATAGATGGATTCTTTCAATGTATGAATAACAACACTGGATTTGTCTAGTTTGATGATGTAGTTTGAGAGTTAGCCCCATGGGCTAACTCTCAAACTACACCAATCAATGATACAGAGGCTTGTTTTTTATATTTTGTAACTTGAAATATCAGACAGAATTTGTAACTTAAAATATTCTAGTTACAAATGATGAAGAGATCTGTAATAATAACCCTAAACACATTCATAACCAGAATGTATTGCACTGGGATAATTGTGATATGCATCCACTATACAAAGAAACAGCACATTACAAAAATGCTAACTTGACCTACAAATGTAACCCCACTGCCTATAGTCTACTCCATAATGATAATGAATGTTATATATATTTCACTGTTAAACTGTAAATTGTAGCAAGTATTTAGACAAAACCAATAAATCAATCATTTCTATTATTATATTTTTAAAATCTCAAGCAAAAATTTAAGCCTTAATTTTTAAGCACAAAATGTAAAATATAAATATAAAAAATATTATTAGCTGAAAAATAAACTGGTAAGAAATACTCTTAAAATAATGATATACTTCAGTTTAAATTTGATATAATGAAACTTGAATAAGAATCAACAACATATATGAAATTTAGTTTAAACTTTTTCTTTTATCCTTTTTTACATTTTATTATAAAACATGTCAAGTTTTTGTTTATTTAATAACTTATCTGAAAATTATAACTATTACCTGAATCCATTCATTGGATGATATTTGCTGGGGATACCAAGCCCAATCACTATTTAATCTTGCTTTAAATGGTTTACCAGTTCTTTGTGCACTAGAAGCAGAAATCTGTTCATCTTGGATCTTCCCAGTTTCCATACCTCTTGGATAAATACAATCTATAAAATATATAACATACATAGTTTGAATATTAATTTTTCAAGAAATACAATTAAAAAACAAAAGCAAAAATTATTTAAATAATGTAATCAATAAAATATAAATGAACATTTTATGAATATTGTTTTATAAAATGTAATAACAACTCAATGTTAGAAAAATAGAAAGAGATCTTATTAAAAATGTTATTAAATATAAACTAGATTTGTTTGCTATCCAAACTATTCATTAACCAATCACCCACTGTAATTGTTAAAATAAATATGAAAAAATTAAATAGAAAATAATTTTAATGTCTTAATTTTTAAGCTTAGTTCATATGGAAAGCAAATCATTGACAAAAAGTGAAAAGAAGAATGACTGTTGATTGGCAATGATATCCTTTCAGTAAATTTTTGTTTTGTGAATTGCAATAATAAATACAATTACTTACCACAGTTACAATAAATTTGTATTTCATAATCATAGCAATAAGAATTGAATTTTTGATTTCTATTGAAACAAATCAATCCATCTGGTAAAGAGCAGGTAATATTTTGAATTTCACTTGATTTAGACCCTACTGGTCGACATTTAATATCCGTAATTTTTTCTATGGGACACATATTAAATTCTTTCCAAAATGAGCTAGAAATATTATTCAATTTTTCAAAATCACCATCACTCTGAAACACATTAATAAAGTTTAAAAAACTGTCAATAAATAGTTTTATCAATAAATTTAAAATAATAACATATTTTATAATTACCTCAGGTGTTGGAGAAAAAGAATTAATCCAAGAAGACCATCCTGTATGGCGACACTGAACTTGTGGAATATTAACTGGAATTTCTGGTTTAGATGGAGGTGGAGGTGGAGAAGGATAAAGAAGTGAAGGAGAAGGATGAAGAGGAGGAGGTGGTGGTGGAGGTGGAGAAGGATGAATAGGAGGAGGAGAAGAATAAAGAAAAGGAGGAGGAAAAGAAAGAGAAGGAGGAGGAGAAGGAAGACAAGATTGACCAATGCAAGATATTTCACCTTTGATACAGTAACTGTAAAAAAGTTGAGATGTTTAATAAATATTTATATATTTTATATTTATATATATTATATTTATTTACAATTTATATATAAATTGTAAATAATTATATATACAATAGTTTCTGAAAATGACAGATAAATTAAGAATATGCAGATAAAGATCTATTAACACACTGTACATTACAATACAGAATGTTCTAGAAAATTTGTTCACTCATCTAACTGATAAAAAATCATTATAAGAAATAAATTGAAGGTTATAAAAATATGCATGATGTAATATTTTAAGGTAATAAATGATTCTTTTAATGTTAATATCATTTGCTAAATATGTACACTGTACCTTATATATCATTTATATAAAATCGTTTGAATGTCAAACGAAAAAATGTCAAGAATGTTAAAATGAACATTGTTTAGAAAGTTATCAGTGATATAGAGATAGATAACGAATAGTTGGATTCACTTATAAAACACTTAATCTATTCTAAGAATATATTAGAGAATTACTAATATTATTATTGATCCTCTTATTAGAATTATTATATTTATTAGACAGGAATGGGAAAAGATATAAGAGGAGGAGAAAAGATATGAGAAAACAAAAGTGATAATACAACAGAATCTACTTATTGTAATAATGAATATTGATACCAATCTTTTAATGCTATTAGAATTTACACATTCCAAAACATATATGGTTATAATTCATTTATAAAAATCAGAATTTATTGCAAGTTAAGTTTCAGTTATAATTACCATTTTCTTCAAGTAAACAGGCATTTTTAAGTTGTCTTTTTGCACTGTTAGCCTTAATACATGACTAGCATGCAGTTATTCATTAGTTATCATTATTAGTCTTAATCAGTATTTTAAATGTTAATTGTTAATAATTTTAATTCATTTTAATCATTATTTGTTACAGTATAATTTGTTAGCATTTCTTACATCTATTATACACTATTTGTTTTTAACGATAGTATTGCAAATAGCAGTAAGCAGACAACATTAAACGAATCAATAACAACTTACAACAACTCTCTCACACCACCTTGTCAAAATGAGAAAGTTTAGTACTTCAATGTTAGCAAGAGCACAAGTTTCTAGTAAGACCACCCAAGCCAGTAAGGTCTATAGGAAGAAATGAAGCAAAGAGTGATCCAAAAGCAGTATATAATTCAGAGTGGACTGCTGCTAAATAGCATCTGTTCTCATGTTAGGGGTGTTTGATATATAAACATTTGACTGTAGGTAAATAAGCATACACACATCTATAAAGAAAATACAGTAGAGCGTCATTTATCCGAATCAATTGGGGATTGGGGTTGTTCGGAAAATCAATATTTCAGATAACCAATTATGTATGAAAAAATATATTAACCTATCCCATGTTGAAATTTTTCTCCGTTGCGTGTTGCTTCACATTGAATTTTCGTCGACATTAAGCCTAACGAAAACTTTTTAAAATAATAGTCGTGACTATTGTATCGTTAAAAATTATTTTTTTATTTTGTACAAACAAAATAAATATATTGAAAAATATAAAAGCAATAAAAAATTATAGTTCAGAAGTTAATTTAGTATCAAAAACGTAAAATATTTGAGTAGCCCAAGACATAGCCAAAGATTGCAGCGCCACAGCACTGGTGAAAATTTAAATTTGCCAACTGGAATTCTTTCAGATAATTGACTTTCGGATAAACAACGCTCTACTGTAGTTGTCACATGTTCACAGCATGATACCAGCTTGGACATAACATAGGTTAACAAAGTCAGCATTCATGAGTAGGAAGAGGATCATGTTTAAAAAAATTTGCCATTCTCTCTTGGCAAATGCAATACTGGCCCAAGTATGGCTACCTCATCATGAACATGCTGCCAACTCACTCATACACAATGGATTGACATACACCATCCCAACCAACATGCTTTACAACAGTCACAACAGTTCAGCTACTGACCATGGCTGAAAAATCATTTACAATGAATGAAGTGGACTCAAGAAATAAATGAATTTATCATATGTATCTATAACACCATTAAAAGACTCAAAACAGACAGACACTACATGATAAATTTACACAAAAATACCTATATCTCACTGTTACAGGGCAAAGGATTGTCAATCAGAACATTATACACAACAATCTTATGAAATACAGGTAACCCCCGTATAACACGGCACTTCTATAGCACGGATTCGCTCTAACACAGTTCGAGAATTGGTACCATCCCCCGTATAACACGGTACTTTTATAGCACGGATTCACTCTGACACGGTTCGAGAAAAACCCTCGTACAACATGAAATGTAATAAATTTTTACATACTTAAGTACTAATAGTTCACAAAAATTATTATTTTCATAAACTATTAGTACTTCAGTGTGTAAATTTTCTTTTCTCGTCTCCATACACATGGTCCTTTGTGAAAATTGTTTCAATTTTGCCAGATCTCGACGCTTCTGCTTCTGGTGTTGCCAGATGTTTTTCCCTTATTCCATAAGTGCTTAGCACCATATAAGGAAAT